TAATGGCAGAAAGGGGCACAGAAAGATGTGATCAAAATCGGAAAAACAGAGAAGAGGGAGAACAAATGAATAAAAGTCACAACCTACACGTTTTGATGACTTTTTTGTCTGGTATGGGGAACGGGTATCGACAAACAAACAGCACATTGCGCCACATACATCTATTCTGAGCCATATCTCTAAACGCCTCTAGCCAACGACAGTCCCCATCCCTTGTGCAACAACCTGGAAGGCGAGCTGCACCAAACGAAGTCAATGCGGAGGCTGACTTCTTCATAACTCTAAGACAGGTCATGACATGACGGCAGCGGCGTTTCATTCAGCTTTGCTTAGCGCGCTCAACGAGAGCACAAAGAGGAAGGCGGTACGCAAAGCATAATCAAGTCATCGGAGGTGGTGTAAAACCATTACTTTCGTTACAGAACAACTATCATACCCAACACCGAATTACGATATTCCGACCGAAAACGAGTGACGTGTCGAAGGCTTTGATGGTCAAATATGGAAGTTCGATTAAAATTACTCTGCACAGATGGCCAACACCTTGCAACCATAAAGCCGAACACTACTAACCGGGGGATGTACACTCTTCCCTTAAGGGACAGTCGGATGTAATGGTAACACCACAGGTGTCGCCGGTTGGCCAAAGCTGCTTTAGCCTTCGCTATCCGTGATGCGATTTCATCCCCGACAACACCCCCAACTGCGATCAAGCTTCTGAGGTACTTGAAGCTCTTAACCACAAGCTGATCATCACAGAGGGCGAGTGCAAGCACAGGTTCCTACCAGTCCTGTGCAAGCACTTTGCAGTTGGATGGTGTGAAGCACATACCATACCTGGATACCTATATCGTCAAGCGGTTCAAAGCGTGTTGGACTGTCTGTGTATCGTCCCCTCCCGCACTCCAAAAAAGCAATGCCATCGGTATATTCTAAGTCCCAACTCCGTTTCCCAGAGGCAGTTCGACTCCACCGTTTGATAAATCGGATAAAGCACTCTGTAGAACATTCTATATGACAAAGTTGGAAAGGATTGCACACATAGAACAACCTTGTTGGACCAAACCGGAGACGGTAAAAGGCGGTAAAATCTGGTCATACGCCCTAATCCGACCTTAGGTAGGACGATCCAACTCATCGAAAATAGACACATACCTATAAGGTACTCGATTTCTCAACATAAAGCTTCATAGTGCAGTCCTTTTGATAGAGTCGAAGGCCCCACGAATGTCTAGCAACACAATGATGCTTGCTCTGTGGTAAGCATGATAGCGCCCTGGAAACTGTCCGTAGGTGAAGATTTCTCCAAATTAAACACGACAGGTGCAAAACCCAGCCTGCTCCTCACGCCTCTTGTACAATCTATATCATTGAAGCTATTGAGATAAGGCATATAGCCATATGCTCGGAAAAGCAGAGCTGTATGCTACCGAGCGCGTACCCAGGGCGCGGATAAGGGAACGGACGTCATCTCATGGCTAACCGTGAATAAGGTGGGCTTCGGCCTACCGAATAAGCGGTCGCGGACGAGAAGCGGTAGTGCTCGAGGATGTGGTGGGTTTACTCCTGGCAAGGGTTCTCCGCTCAAAAC